ATAATAATGTAAATATGCATATTATTTATGGTATTTTTATTTAACAATAAAAAAAACACTAGCATTAAATAACAACAACATTACGAATACATATTGAAATAACATTAGTACATGATAGATCACGGTTCAAAGAAAAACATTTTAATTACTAGTGCTGAAATAAAAATACAAAATCACACGGTACTAAAATAAAAATACATCATAAACCCAACAACTTAAAACAAGCACGAATACTTAGTAATCTGACAAGTTGGCACCGCTTCCTCCAAGATCATTGAAAAATTGGCCAAATGCATTAGCTTGATATGGATCCGGTTGGGCTTGTTGAGCTCTTTTCTCCAAGATTCGTGCCTTTTCAGCTTCAATGTATGCTCGAACTCTAGGATCTTCAATGGAACTGACATCTTGAAACATAATTTTATTTTCTTCCCATTTCTTTTAAAACGTGAGATCTATTGTGCATCTCCATTTGGTGTTTTATTTGGTCATTTGCATTTTTCATCTCCTCAACAAGTCTTTTGTTTGCTTCCTTCATCGCATTGATGAGCGATGATGAATCATCATTTACCTTTCTTTTTAGTTTGGCTTTCTTGACCCCAATAGGTCTTTCAGATGGAGAACCAGTAGCAAATTGATCCGAGTCGCTTAAATTTATAGAAAATGAAGAAATACCTGCGGATTCTTGTCGGGCAGACTCGGGAGTTGGATTTTCTGACTCCGAAGATGGATAACAACCAGACTGTTTTTTCTTGCTCCTCGAAGCTCCATCTTTAAATTTTTCAAAGTTTTTTAATAATATCCCAAACATGATCGTATTTCCATCCGGATTTTAATTTGGAATCTTCTTTTTACAACACTTTCGCTCTGAGCATCTACAATTTTTCATAAACAATTAACCATAGCTAATATAAATATGAAATTTAATATATAAAAAATACAATCAGATTTTAGTACTAACTGTATCTTCATTTGATGCACCACTCTGATGCATATCTTCTACAGCTTTTATGCATGCATGAAGTCTTTTGGCTGCTTTTTCGATTGTTTGAATTCGTGTTTGCATAGATCTCTTGGTACGAACCTCCAAATGCTCAAGCTGTCCTTCATTGAAAGCATTTTCAATACGGGACCAAAATCGATCAGATGATTGGTATACCCCAATAATTGGGTCCTGAGAAATATCCATATAAACTTGACATAAAAGAACATCTTTATCATGGTTATAGGAAGATGAACGGATCGACATTCTTACAAGAAGTTAGTTGTGCTAAAGCTTTAGTGTAGAGAATAAAAATGTTGGGGTGTAGTCACTACAATATGCTATCTTCTTTTATAGTGAAAGACCCTCTCCTCTCTCCATGGTTTAACCCGAAATGACATATCACTGCAATGACTCGAAAATGACCACTCTCTACAAAGTTGATCACGCTTATCCATATTCTGACCCAAAAATGATCACCCTCTGCAAAGTTGATCACGCTTATCCATGTTCTGACACGAAAATGACATATCATTGCAATGTCCCCCACCTCTCTCAATGCATTGACCCGAAAAATGACCACTCTCTGCAAAGTTGATCACGTTTATCCATGTTCTTTTACGAAAATAACATATCACTGCAATGTCCTCCACCTCTCTCAATGCATTGACCCGAAAATGACCACTCTCTGCAAAGTTGATCATGCTTATCCATGTTCTGACACGTAAATGATATATCACTGCAATGTTCCCCACCTCTCTCAATGCATTGACCCGAAAATGACCACTCTCTGCAAAGTTGATCACGTTTATCCATGTTCTGACACGAAAATGACATATCACTGCAATGTCCTCCACCTCTCTCAATGCATTGACCCGAAAATGACCACTCTCTGCAAAGTTGATCACGCTTATCCATGTTCTGACACGAAAATGACATATCACTGCAATGTTCCCCACCTCTCTCAATGCATTGACCCGAAAATGACCACTCTCTGCAAAGTTGATCACGCTTATCCATGTTCTGACACGAAAATGACATATCACTGCAATGTCCTCCACCTCTCTCAATGCATTGACCAGAAAATGACCACTCTCTGCAAAGTTGATCACGTTTATCCATGTTCTGATACGAAAATAACATATCATTACAATGTCCTCCACCTCTCTCAATGCATTGACCCGAAAATGACCACTCTCTGCAAAGTTGATCACGCTTATCCATGTTCTGACACGAAAATGACATATCAATGCAATGTTCCCCACCTCTCTCAATGCATTAACCCAGAAATGACCACTCTCTGCAAAGTTGATCACGCTTATCAATGTTCTGACACGAAAATGACATATCACTGCAATGTCCTATACCTCTCTCAATGCATTGACTCGAAAATGACCACTGTCTGCAAAGTTGATCACGCTTATCCATGTTCTGACCCGAAAATGACATATCACTGCAATGTCCCCCACCTCTCTCAATGCATTGACCCGAAAATGACCACTCTGCAAAGTTGAACACGCTTATCCATGTTCTGACTCGAAAATGACATATCACTCTCAATGTCCCCCACATCTCTCAATGCTCTCACCACACCTTATAAATTCACTACTATAAGAACATAACATATACTAAATCCTTCACACACTTGAATCTATTCAAACATCTTATCATATTTCTCTATCCCACATTTCTGCAATGAATTTTAATTTTGGCAATTCGTCATCTTCTTCCTCTGATTCTGAGGATGATCATATGGTAATTATGAATGCTCTTCGTAAAAAACAAGCAGTGATAGCTCAAGCTATCGCGAATAACAACATCATCATTCAACATCTTATCAATCAACAAAACCAAGAAGCCTCCCATGGAGGATCTGTTCCTGGGCATATTTTTATCAATCGTGATCGAGAGGCTGCTGATCGTAGGTTGTACAATGATTATTTCTCATAAAATCCATTTATAATGAGACCATGTTCCGTAGAAGATACAGAATGTCTCGCTCGTTGTTCCTTCGAATTGTCGACGCAGTCAAAGATCATGATCATTACTTTCAACAACGAGTGGATCGAGCAGGCAGACTTGGATTATCTCCAATACAAAAAATAACTGTTGTCTTTCGTATGTTGGCATACGACATTCCAGTAGATGCTACAGACGAGTATGTTAAAATTGGTGAGTCCACTGCAATTGAAAGTATGAAAAAATTTTGTCGATCGATAGTTGAGGTATTTGGCGAGCGATATCTGCGGAGACCCACAACTGATGATATTTCCAGGCTTCTATACATTGGCCAGCAACGTGGTTTTTCAGGAATGTTGGGGAGTTTAGATTGCATGCATTGGAGGTGGAAAAATTGTCCTACATCGTGGACTGGCCAATATGCTGGTCGTAGTGGAAAGCCTACAATCATTCTCGAAGTTGTAGCATATTATGATCTATGGATATGGCATGCTTATTTTGGTTTGTCGGGCTCCAACAACGACATCAACGTTCTAGAATCATCTCATCTTTTCTCGGATCTAACCCAATGTATTGCTCCTCCAGCTCATTATATAATTCAAGGAAAAGAATACAACATGGGTTATTATTTAGCCGATAGCATATATCCAAAATGATCTACCATTGTGCAAACAATTCATGAGCCACGTGGTCCAAAGAAAAAAAATTTTGCAATGAAACAAGAAGCCTGCAGATATGACGTTGAATGTGCATTTGGAGTTCTTCAATCACGTTTTGGCATTGTAGCAGGACCAGTACGTTATTGGCGAAAAGAAGTGTTGCATGATATCATAACCACATGTATAATTTTGCATAACATGATTGTCGAGGATGAACGTGACCTAAGTGCACCAATAGAAACTGAAATAGAAACGCCGCCGCCGGATGTCGAAATGGCAGTAGATGAAAGTACTCGATTTCAAGAATTTATATCTCGGTACAAAAAAATTAGAAATAAAGATGATCATATTGCACTTCGAAATGCACTAATTGATCATTTGTAGGAAGAATTCACCAACTCTGAGACTTGAAAGACTATCTATTTTTACGTGATTGTTGTAATTTTCTATTTTATCTTGTGTGTTGTAATACTTAAATTTTTATTTTGTGTGTTGTAATTTCTAATTTTATCATGTGCGTTGTAATTTTTCATTTTATCTTGTGTGTTGTAATTTTTAATTTTTCATCTTGTGAATTTTAATTTTTAATTTTATTTGTGTGGTGAAATTTTAATTTTTAATGAATATTTATTTGTACGATTTTATTATGTATAATTAATTTTAATTACATTAATAATGTGGTTTAATTTGTAAAGTTATAAAATATATGGGTAGTATTGAAAAGTTATAAAAATTGGTGTAAAAAAGAACATTCTGAGAATATTCTTTTGGGTTTGAGAATGAGTTTTTCGGTTGGAGATGAATTACTGCAAAATATGATAGTTACTGCAAAATGGATTTGAGTTTGAGTTTTTCGGCTGGAGATGGCCTAACACCGATTTGGCAGGCCGTTTTGGATGATGGCTGATCAAAGACATTCTTTGGCGGGCTATTTTGGATTATGCCCGGACCAATTAAGTGATCGGTTCGCGTTTTAATGGGTTGAACTAGTTGGTACGATCTAATTTCTTAAAACCATGATAAAAATCAAATGTGCCAAAAAAATATTCTTGTGCATCTATTTTGTCAAGTCCACAACTCTTCAGAAAAATTGATTTGAATGCCCAGTAGATTATCGTCTAAATGCATGTAAACGAAAAGAAACAGAAATTGAAGGCAAGGCAGGATATCCACGAGCGGGCGATTGCCGACGATGTACTCAAGCAGGATGTGCCAGCGGCAATGAAGTCCCCAACAACTGTGATTATGATTAGGAAAAAGAAAAAAAAAAAGCTTACATGTAGATTATGACAAAATATGTCATAAAGTATCTTTCTTCTTTATTCAATAAGAGTAAAACAGTAAATAATCACAATCACCATGTTATTTTCTGGTCAACTGCACAAGTAAAAAATCCGAGGTGGTTATAACTTTGATTCGCAGAAGACGACTTTTGCTTGGGAATAGACTGTTCTCGCATCATCTGCACAGAAGAAAAGCACTGAATCACTACCGTGTGCCATGCTTTACGGAAGAAACCTAAAATAAAATTAACAGAAAGGAAAGAAACAAAGACAAACTCAATATATTTTTACATTATACTCTAGCTACTGATGCATAAATCTCCGAATTCTACCCGAGTAGAGCATAATATTGTAAAACTACTTACATTTCAAAACTGCAAAAACACCCCAGGAGGAAAGTGCACAAACGGCTAAACAAATGAGTCAGAGTAACTAAAAATATGATATAAAACACCATTAACTAAAACCAAGAACATAAATTATCGAAAAAAGGAAAACGAGGCTCACAAACAGTAAAAAAAACAAGAAGTCAACACAAAATATATTTTCACAAATATAAGCAGAAAATGCAAACACAACATACCTACAATTCTGTCAAATTCATACTCCACAGGGACATTGTTTTCATTTTCAATGGCCCCTTTAGCTGCTGCTATTCCAACTGCCACACTCTGCATTATATCCAAACCCGAACACAGCGAAGCTAGTGTACCGCCAGCCAAGCAATCACCAGCACCCGTAAGCCTAACTACAGTGGCAGATAGTGCAGGGAAATGTATAGCTATATTATGGCTCTTTTTCGACTCAAGGGTGCCTAATATCTTATTGGCAGGGCAATTTAAACTTATGGCTTCGTATAATTTTCTACTAAAAGAAAATGGTTCATTTTTCTTGCAATCTTGTTTCTTCAGTCCGCTAGTTGTTTTGAAGCACAAGAATACACCTTGTGGTCCTAGGGTCACAATTACTACTTTAACACCTTTCTCAAGCAGAACCCATGCTGGAGGCTTTAGAACTTGAAGTAATGAGCCAATAGACGAGTCAAAACTATTTGAATCTTTTTGAATTGGTAAGAATTTATTTCGCGAAGAAAGGGCATTTGCCATGGCTACAAGCTCGTCCTCATTAGGTGAGGTATAAGTTATCTGTGGAATAACAATTGGCATAATTACAAAACCACTTTTGAAGTTTGACATAATTTAAGAAAAAACATGTTGTTTTTTTTTTAAGAATTACAAATATAATCCTTGAATATATAGACACCCCTTGATGTTGTATTCACTTAACACTATCCATTCACCAAGAGAGAAATTTGCACAATTGTAAAAGTACGAGAGTATTGACAACTCTAGAAGATAGCTGGAACATTTTATAATGCAAAGAAGATTAGGGGAACTTTTTTAAGTAAAAAAAAAAAAAAAA